AGCTGGGGTTGCAATTCTTATATCAGATCAATTAGATTTTATGCCAAAGACTATAATAAGAGATGAGGAAGGACACTATATCATACTCAAAGGGTCTGTCCAACAAGAAGATCTATGCCCCTAACATGGGAGCAGCTAATTATATAGACCAATTAATAACAAAATTAAAGAAATACATTGACAATAATATAATAATAGTAGAGGACTTTAACACCCCCCTCACTGAAATGCACACATCATCTAAGTAAAAGATCACATGGAAATAAAGGCCTTAAATGACACACTGGACCAGATGAACATCACAGATATATTCAGAACATTCCATCCCAAAACAACAGAATACAGATTCTTCTCTAATGCACATGGAGCATTCTCCAGAACTGATCTCATCCTGGGTCACAAATCAGGTCTCAATCAGTACCAAAAGATTGCGATCATTCCCTGCATATTTTCAGACGACAATGCTCTGAAGCTAGCACTCAATCACAAGAGGAAAGTTGAAAGAACTCAAATACATGGAGGCTAAAGAGCATCCTACTAAAGAATGAATGGGTCAACCAGGAAATTAAAGAACAATTGAAAAAATTCATGGAAACAAATGAAAATGAAAACACAACTATTCAAAATCCGTGGGACATAGCAAAGGTAGTCCTGAGAGGAAAGTACATAGCAATACAATACAATACAGTAAAAACCTTTTTCGAGAAAACAAGAAAGGTCTCACGTACACAAACTAACCCTACACCTAAAGGAGCTGGAGAAAGAACATCAAAGAAAGCCTAAATCCAGCAGGAGAAGAGAAATCATAAAGATCAGAGCAGAAATCAATGAAACAGAAACCAAAAGAACAGTAGAACAAATCAACAAAACTAGGAACTGCTTCTTCTTTTTTTTTTTAGATTTTATTTATTTATTTGACAGATAGAGATCACAAGTAGGCAGAGAGGCAGGCAGAGAGAGAGAGAGGAGGAGGCAGGTTCCCTGCCGAGCAGAGAGCCCGACATGGGGCTCGATCCCGGGAGACTGGGACCATGACCTCAGCTGAAGGCAGAGGCTTTAACCCACTGAGCCACCCAGGCGCCCCTAGGAACTGCTTCTTTGAAAGAATTAATAAGATTGATAAACCACTGGCCAGACTTATCAAAAAGAGAAGAGAAAGGACCCAAATTAATAAAATCATGAATGAAAGAGGAGCGATCACAACCAACACCAAAGAAATACAAACAATTAAAAGAACATATTATGAGCAACTATACACCAGCAAATTTGACAAGGTGGAAGAAATGGATGCATTCCTAGAGATGTATAAACTACCAAAACTGAACCGGGAAGAAATAGAAAACCCGACAGACCCATAACCAGTAAGGAGATTGAAGCAGTCATCAAAAATCTCCCAACAAACAAGAGCCCATGGCCAGACAGCTTCCCAGGGGGATTCTACCAAGCATTTAAAGAACTAAAACCTATTCTCCTGAAACTGTTGCAAAAAAAAGAAATGGAAGGAAAACTGCCAAACTCGTTTTATGAGGGCAGCATTACCTTGATCCCAAAACCAGACAAAGATCCCATCAAAAAAGAGAATTACAGACGAATATCCTTGATGAACATAGGTGTAAAAATTCTCACCAAAATATTAGTCAATAAGATCAAACAGTACATTAAAAGTATTATTCACCACAATAAAGTGGGATTTATTCCAGGGCTGCAAGGTTGGTTCAACATCCACGAGTCAATGAATGTGATACAGTACATTAATAAAAGAAAAAACAAGAACCATATGATACTCTCAATAGATGCTGAAAAAGCATTTGACAAAGTACAGCATCCTTTCTTGATAAAAACTCAACAAAGTGTAGGGATAGAGGGTACATACCCCAATATCACCAAAGCCATCTATGAAAAACCCACAGCGAATATCATTCTCAATGGGGAAAAACTGAGAGTTTTTCCCCTGAGGTCAGGAACATGGCAGGGATATCCACTATCACCACTACTATTCAACATCATACTACAAGTCCTAGCCTCAGCAATCAGAGAACAAAAAGAAATTAAAGGTATCTGAATAGGCAAAAAAGAAGTCAAACCCTCACTCTTTGCAGATGATATGATACTTTATGTGGAAAACCCAAAGGCTCCACTCCAAAACTGCTAGAACTCATACAGGAATTCAGTAAAATGTCAGGATATAAAATCAATGCACAGAAATCAGTTGCACTTCTCTACACCAAAAGCAAGACAGAAGAAAGAGAAATTCAAGAGTCGATCCCATTTACAATTGCACCCCAAACCATAAGATACTGAGGAATAAACCTAAACAAAGAGGCAACGAATCTGAACTCAGAAAACTTTAAAGTACTCATGAAAGAAATTGAGGAAGACACAAAGAAATGGAAAAACATTCCATGATCATGGATTGGAAGAACAAATGTGAAAATGTCTATGTTACCTAGAGCAATCTACACATTTAACATAATCCCTATCAAAATACCATCATCTTTATTCAAAGAAATGGAACAAATCACCCTAAAATTCATATGGGACCAAAAAAGACCATGAATAGCCAGAGGAATGTTAAAAAAAGAAAGCCAAAGTTAGTGACATCACAATTCCAGACTTCAAGCTCTATTACAAAGCTGTAATCATCAAAATAGTATGGTCCTGGCACAAAAACAGACACATAGATCAATGGAACAGAGAACAGAGAGCCCACAAATGGACCCTTAACTCTTTGATCAACTAATCTTCAATAAACAGACAAATAGATCAATGGAACAGAACAGAGAGCCCACAAATGGACCCTTAACTCTTTGATCAACTAATCTTCAATATAGCAGGAAAGAATGTCTGGTGGAAAAAAGACAGTTTCTTCAACAAATGGTGTTGGGAAAATTGGATGGCCACATGTAGACGAATGAAACTGGACCATTTCCTTACACCACACACAAAAATAGACTCAAAATGGATGAAAGACCTCAATGTGAGACAGGAATCCATCAAAATCCTTGAATAGAACACAGGCAGCAACCTATTTGACCTCAGCCACAGCAACTTCTTCCTAGAAGCATCGCCAAAGGCAAGGGAAGCAAGGGTAAAAAATGAACTATTGGGACTTCATCAAGATCAAAAGCTTTTGTACAGCAAAGGAAATAGTCAACAAAACCAAAAGACAACTGACAGAATGGGAGAAGATATTTACAAATGACATATCAGATAAAGGGCTAGTATCCAAAATGTATAAGGAACTTATTAAACTCAGCAACCAAAGAACAAATAATCCAATCAAGAAATGGGCAGAAGACATGAACAGACATTTTGACAAAGAATACATCCAAATGGCCAACAGACAGATGAAAACTTGCTCAACATCACTTGGCATCAGGAAATATATCACTTGGCATCAGGAAATATAAATCAGAATATATATATATATATATATATATATATATATACATACACACACACACACACACACAATGGTATACACAATGGAATACTATGAAGCCATTAGAGGAAACGAAATCTTGCCATTTGCAATGATATGGATAGAACTAGAGGGTATTGTGCTAGGTGAAATAAGTCAATCAGAGAAAGAAAATTATCATATGATCGCTCTGATATAAGGAATTTGAGAGGCATGGCAGGGAGTTATGGGGGGTAGGGAGGGAAAAAATGAAATAAGATGGGATCTGGAGGGAGATAAACCATAAGAGACCATTAATCTCATGAAAAAAACTGAAGGTTGCTGGGGGATGAAGGGGGTAGGGATAGGGTGTTTGGGTTATGGGCATTGCGGAAGGTATGTGCTATGTATGGTGAGTGCTGTGAAATGTGTAAGCCTGATGATTCATAGATCTGTACCCCTGGGGCAAATACTACATTATACGTTAATTTAAAAATGGAGAAAATTTGGTAATATGGAAAGTTTCTCATAAAAATCCTCCAAATATAAGTTTAGTGTCCACAAATAGATGAATGGGTAAAGATGTGGTATACATACATACATCCCCCACACACAATAGACTATTACTCAGCCATAGAAAAGAATGAAATTTTGCCATTTGCAACAACATGGATGGATCTAGAAAATGGAATGCTGAATGAAATAAGTCAGTCAGAAAAAGACAAATAGCATATGATTTCACTACTCTGTAGAATATAAGAAACAAACAATGAATAAAAGAAATAAACCAAAAGATAAACTCTTAACTAAAGAGAACAAACTCATTTTTACCAGAGGTGAGAGTTAGTGGGTGGGTGAAATATGTGAAGGGGATTAAGGTATACTTATCAGGATGAGCATTGTGTACAGAACTGTTGAATTCCTATATAGTACACCTGAAGCTAATATAACACTGTATATTAATTATGCTGAATTTTAACAAGTTAAATAAAAATACATATATGTGCATTATAAAAGCTGTTTAATGGTGAAGGTGATTATTTGGAGAATTTATTTATGTGTGACAGCTCATCTCTGCACTTGCATAGAACAACTTCCCAACCCCCTGCCACCACCATCTTCCTACATCAGTCCTTTCTTTTCATCAGGTCTCAGTTCAAACCCTGGCTTCTCAATGAAGCTTCCCCTGACCACTTCATTTCAACTTGAACCCACCATTTCAGTTTTTTCTTTGTTATTCACCGTATTTACTTATTTGTTTATTGTAAGCTTTTACCTTCTTGAATATATGCCCCGGGAGAGAACCATGCCCATCTCCCCAACATCCAGCCCAATGCCTGGTACACAATGAACATTCCATAAATATTTGTTGGAACTGAGAGAATTTCTCCATGATCTTAGGCAAATGAGGTAACATGCTATTTTAAAGAGATCTAAGGATGGTATTGAGATTTTTACACCTTGTGAGCTACCCACCAAGGGAAGAGAGATTTTATAAATGATGAACAGTTATAGAATTGATATAAATTTTATAAAGCCAAAGAAAAAATTCTGTCATTCCCGAATTAGATACAGCTTGTTATACTAATAAACTACTTACCAATTTTGTTTTTTCCTTCTTCATACTTTATTCTTTGTAAAATATGATGTACGATTCTACTTCTTGTGGCGTTGTTGAAGAAAGTATCTTTGTTGTGTATGATGAAGCTGCACACACATATTGAAAACACAAGCTGAAGGTTAATTGGAGGTGATGAATCTAATCTTTGACATAATGTGGTGTTACTCATACAGAGGTGTCTTCAATAGGTCACAGAAAGGGTAGGTCTGGAACAGCATGAGAGAGCCCAGAGAGCACACCAGGGGCAGGAAGTTCACACACCTCAGTAGTTTGGATTCTTAGTCTCCTGAGCATTAACATAATTATGCCAGGAAGGAGCTGGAGCTAAATGCAATTTAAAAACCTTAAAATAAAATAAAATTTTTCCTCAATAAGGTCATTAGATATATGCAAATAAAAATGTATTTTGTTTTTATCTCCTCTCATCTCTCACCTCATCCCCTTCCATGTCATAACCACCTGGTTTTTCAGAAATTTTAAGATGTGAAACTGATTTGGGTGGTGAATATGAAAATTAGGTAATAAGCTCTGGTCTAGCTCAGGGCCTCTGTCTGTTCCTTTCCCATGTTCCTTGCTGAATGGGACTCCTCTCCTAAAGCATATACTTGTATTTGCTTTCTTTATCAGCCAGTGGATGACCCAGCCTCTAAAGTTTCTCACAGAGCTCATACACACACACCAAGACACTGGGCTTTCCAGTGGATACCACTACCCTACTGATAACTGAGAGGTTTTAGGTGACAGAGCTTCCAGGACCACAACATCCAGCATGAAGAGGCCATGTCTTCCCTTTCCAGGAATGTGTTTAACGGTATAATATTAGACATACTGTAAGTATAATTGCTTCATAAATTGTGAACTTTATTAACTCAGCAAACTTTTATGAGGTACCTCCTAAGAGTGGGGACATTGTGCAAGGATTATCAATGTGCAAGCCCCTGCCTCTTCAAAACCCAGCTCAGAAGCCACCTCCCCCAACAGGTCTCCTCACTACTCCAACTCCACTCCTTTCCCACAAATAATGCAGTATGCCCTCCTCTGTGCTACTTCTTATCTTGTGAGTATATTGATTTATCAATTATTCTGTATTTTCACTTCTTTTCATTCATTCATCCACTCATTCATTCAGCAAATGTTTATTAAGGGCTCTGTCTAGGGTACTGGTTACACAGTAGTAAACAAAACATAAAATCTTTGTTCTTAAGAGGCTTACAGTCTAACAGGAAAGACAAACCATAAAGGAAGTGAACATGATTGTATGGCAGAGATGGCAGAATCAACCTCCCTTTGCATGTCTGGATACCACACAAAACTGAACTCCTTCAGGACAAAAGGCTGAATCATACTAATTTCTATAGCCCCAGTATCTAGTGAGTGGCTCGTACAAATACAGGTATATATTTTTGAATAGCAGTAAGTGAGGGCCATTGGGATTTATGTTAGGGAAATTGCTATTAAAGTTTTTTCTTCAAGAAGATAGATTCCCAAGAGTTGTTTAAATGCCAGGTGGAAGAGAGAAAACTGACCCAGAGAAGACAGTCCACGCATGGGATCTGGTTTGGGAACAAGCTGGGAATGTGAGTTTGAGATAACATAAAAAGGGGATAAAGGCCAGAGAATGTGAAAATAAAATGTAAATCACATGAGTTGGTTCCCTGAGAAGTATTTTCCTCTTTTACTTCCCTAGGATTCTGTTATAGAAAACTATTCTCAGAAAAAGTAATTTGACTTGGTAGATGAGAGATAAATGATATGTGGGTGAATGAGGAAGCTGCAGAGCTTAGCTGGTATTTTCTTTAGGGTTTTCTGAAAACATCTTATTGCACCAAAGAGGGAGAGAAGAAAACCAAAAGTTACACTGAATGCAGTTCCTTTTATTTTATCCTTCTCTACTTTTTCACCTTATTTAAGACAGACAATTCCACTTTAATATCAAATAAAGGTGCCATTAAAAAAAAGAGACAAATCAAAAAGTCCATTTTTGACTCACAATACCAGATGATAACTGAAAGCTGATAAGTATGACTATGCTTGACGGGACAATTCTGGCCTAAAAGCCCATGTCCCTCCTCCATTAAATGGTTTTCTGCTTTCTTCTCCTTTTATAGCACCACATTACATTTTGTGAGCTCATGTAATCATTCTCTATAATAAGCACTGCAGATGAGCTTCAAAATTTTGTTTTCCTCTTTCTTCTATCTAGGTTGTACCTGGAGCCAGGAGATTCTATAGTGGGAACAAATACATAGGGCACGTGCCAGGCACTATTTTAAGCACCCCAGATATATTAACTCATTAAATCCTTGCAATAACACAGGACATAGTCTTTTATAGCTCTGTCTTACAGATGAAGAATTAGAGAAGGTGAGTGATGCCCCCAAAGTTACTCAACTAAGGAGGAGCGCCAGGATTTCAACTCAGGCAGTCTGACTCCAGAGGTTGCCCTCTTACCCACTCCACTTACCTGTCTCCCTGTGCTAAAAACTTCCTGACTCCTGGAGGCTGACTCTCCTTGAGATCAGCCCAAGAGCTGTTCTGCCTGGAATACTTTCCTTGTTTCCACTAATTCTTTGAGCCTCAGCTCAGGGCACATCTCCCTCTAAGGATCTTCCTTGAGCCCCTGGGCCTCCTCCTGAAAAGCAATGTGGTGCTACACTAAGAGAAGGAGGGATAAAACCATTTAATGCAGCTTTAAGTTCTAATATTACCCTTCCTTCCCCCTTAAGACTTTGAAGTGAGACAGTCCACAGAATAAACCCTATTTTGTCACTTACTATGGGTATTGAACTGTCCCTCAACTTCCCTAGATCTTGGTTTCCTCTTTTGTGAAACGGGGATAACACTGTAATTACTTTCATAGCATTTTTGTTTGGAAGAATCAGGCGAGGTGACAAGCATTGCAGAGCCCCACTGTCTGATGTTTAATAAGCTCTCAGAGTTAGCTGTCATCATTGCTGTTGTTTCTATGACATCATATAGAAACTGTCTGCCTACATACTTGACTTCTCTGGATGAGCTTCTTGAGGGCAGGGACCAGCCATGCTCATTTCTGTATTCTAGCACAGGTCTTGGCTCATGATCAGACCTTACAATTGGCTCAAATGAACGGACCTTCTGGAGAATACCTGCTAACACTGGGGGTTATGTGACTAAATATCATCTCGTTATACCTTGGCATCTAATTCTTCTTCCTGGAAATATTTCTACCCATTTCATCTTTTCAGCTACCACCTGAACCATTCTCTCCACAAAGGAGAGAACTGCCAAAGGATTTTCGTACTGGGTATGGAACAATCTCATTTTCTCTGTTTCTCTTTCAAACTGAAGGGCTAAGAGAAGGCACAGTGATGACTCTTGACATCGTTATTCTCAAGCTTTCCTTAGCCACTTAGCCAAAACAACCTTCTTCAAATGATTCACATACACATGTGCATGCACACATATAAGCACCATGTAAGCTGGGCTGTTCTGGCAACCATAAGACTTGGGGGCTCACATCAGGGAGATTCAAATTAAAACTACATTGAGATACCACCTTACACCAGTTAGAATCGCCAAAATTAGCAAGGCAGGAAACAACGTGTATTGGAGAGGATGTGGAGAAAGGGGAACCTTCTTACACTGTTGGTGGGAATGCAAGTTGGTGCAGCCAATTTGAAGAACAGTGTGGAGATTCCTTAAGAAATTAAAAATAGGCAGGAGCCTGACTTCCTCCTTCCTCCAGCCATCACCCACCTGCCTTACTCACTCAAGAGTCACCAAAGAAATTAAAAATAGAGCTTCCCTATGACCCTGCAATTGCACTACTGGGTATTACCCCAAAGACACAGATGTAGTGAAAAGAAGGGCCATCTGTACCCCAATGTTTATAGCAGCAATGGCCACAGTCACTGAACTCTGGAAAGAACCCAAGATGTCCTTCAATGGATGAATGGATAAGGAAGATGTAGTCCATATACACTATGGAGTATTATGCCTCCATCAGAAAGGATGAATACCCAAGTTTTGTAGCAACAGGGATGGGACTGGAAGAGATTATGCTGAGTGAAATAAGTCAAGCAGAGAGAGTCAATTATCATATGGTTTCACTTATTTGTGGAGCATAACAAATAACACAGAGGACATGGGGAGATGGAGAGGAGAAGGGAGTTGAGGGGAATTGGAGGGGGAGATAAACCATGAGAGACTATGGACTCTGAAAAACAATCTGAGGGTTTTGAAGGGGCGGAGGTTGGAAGGTTGGGGGAGCCTGGTGGTGGGTATTATGGAGGGCACATATTGCATGGAGCACTGGGTGTGGTGCATAAACAATGAATTCTGTTACACTGAAAAGAAATTTAAAAAATTAAAAACTTAAACTATAATTTAAAAAAATAAAAGTTATGCTCAGGGCTCCTGGGTGGCTCAGTTGATTAAGTCACTTTCTTTAGCTCAGATCATGATCCTGGTGTCCGGGGACTGAGTCCAGCATCAGGCTCCATGCTTGGCAGGGAGTCTACCTCTCCCTCTCACTATTCTGGCAAACATAAGACTTGGGGGCTCACATCAGGGAGATTCAAATTAAAACCACATTGAGATACCACCTTACACCAGTTAGAATGGCCAAAATTAGCAAGGCAGGAAACAACGTGTATTGGAGAGGATGTGGAGAAAGGGGAACCTTCTTACACTGTTGGTGGGAATGCAAGTTGGTGCAGCCAATTTGGAGAACAGTGTGGAGATTCCTTAAGAAATTAGAAATAGAGCTTCCCTATGACCCTGCAATTGCACTACCAGGTATTTACCCCAAAGATACAGATGTAGTGAAAAGAAGGGCCATCTGTACCCCAATGTTTATAGCAGCAATGGCCACAGTCACCAAACTGTGGAAAGAACCAAGATGTCCTTCAACGAATGAATGGATAAGGAAGATGTAGTCCATATACACTATGGAGTATTATGGAGGGCACATATTGCATGGAGCACTGGGTGTGGTGCATAAACAATGAATTCTGTTACACTGAAAAGAAATTAAATTAAATGGTGAAAAAAAAAAAAGACTTGGGGGCTCAGTCTCTGAGGTGTCAGTGCTCTGTACTGGCTTAGA